AGGGCAGTTAAAGCATTTGTCTCAAACAGGGTTATTTCTGCAGTGTGTTTTGGACCTAACACGGCTATATCTTTGAATTCTACTAATATAAATGTAAAATCATGCTCCAAATAGAGGACGACTTGAAGTTTCTGCTGGACAGAAGATTGAAGTGGAGGACCTGTCCTGGAAAGGGAGGACCTCTGATTACCCTGGCTATCCGGAACCATCTCCACCATCATCCCCAAACACCTGTATAGATGTCAATATTAAAAGGGAAGAAAAACCAGCTGTGCTCGCCTGGCATTTTGCAGAAAGCCACACCACTATCCTTCCTTCCTTCCTCCCTCTTTTCTTTGCTTTGGAGGTGCTGCCTCTCCTTTCTTGTGCTGCTGCTTCTGATGCCTCTGATGACAAGCGATGAGCAAATAAAGAGCTCTGAGGCCATGTCACACAAGGCCTAGGAAGAAGAAGAAGAAGAAGAAGGGAAGCCACCAAGAAGGAGGAATGGAGGGAGGGAGGGAGGGAGGAAGAAAGGAAGGAGAAAAGGCAGAAAATGAAAGAGAAGGGAGGCAAGGGATGCCACTATTGTCAGGCATCCAGAAAAGAGCAGGGAGAAGGGTGGGCTGGTTGTTGTTGTGTGCCTTCCAAGTCCTTTCCAACTTATGGTGACCCTATCCTGGGCTTTTCATGGCGAGACTTGTTCAGAGGGGGTTTGCCCTTGCCTTCCTCTGAGGCTGAGAGAGTGTGACTGAGAGAGGTCCCCACACTCAAACTACTACGCCATACTGGCTCAATTGATCTACTAACAATAACAACAACAAAAGTTGTAGCAAATCCCTATCCTCTCAATTACAAAACAGCACATCTTGTTTTCATATTTATTTTCCATGTACTGTGTCGTATTCCCAAATAATTGAGCCCTGGTGGTGCAGTGGTTAAATGCCTGTACTGCAGCCACTCACTCACAAACCACAAGGTTGCGAGTTCAATACCAGCCAAGGGGCTCAGGCTTACATCCCTCTGAGGTTGCTAAAATGAGTACCCAGCTTGTTGAGGGCAATTAGCTTACAGTTGGAAACTGCATAGTGTGGTATGAAGTGGTATATAAATGAAGCTGCTATTGCTATTGCAAAGTCTTTTATTAAGTCTGGCTATTATTAACTATTTCCCAACCTCTCTCTCTCTCTCTCTCTCTCTCTCTCTCTCTCTCTCTCTCTCTATATATATATATATATATATATGGTTTTATATATATATATAATACATATATACACATACCATTATATATATTAACATATAATTAACACATAATGTTGTGGCCTCCACCCACTCTTGTTTATTTTTAGTGTCTTTTTGATTGTATTTTGTTCTGGAACCGCCATTTTAATCTAGTACTAGTTTAATTTAGTTTTAAGGGGGGGGAGGGTTAGGTATTGGGGAGCAGGAGTGTTTTTAAGTTGTTATTTGTTTTAACCTTATTGTACGCCGCCCCAGTTGCTGAGCAGAGGGGCGGGTTAGAAATAAAACTTATTATTATTATTATTATTATTATTATTATTATTATTGTGTGTGTGTGTAGCTATTATTAACCATTTTCCAACCTCCTTGCATTCCATTTTCCATATATATGTGTATATACACACACACAGTATATATATTTGTTGTTAACCGCCCTCGAGTCGATCTCGACCCATGGCGACCCTATGGATGAGAATAAATAATAATAAATAATACATTTTATTTTTATACCGCCCATTGGTAGTCCAATCCGGGTGGTTTACAGCATGATGATGATGATGTAATTCACTTTTCTTAGGCTGTATCCACACTGCAGAAATAATCCAGTCTCCAAGACCCCCTGTCTTCCCCTGCTCTGCTTAATTTCTGCAACCCCTTAATACACATAACCTCCTTCATA